ATGACATTATACAGTAGGCAAAACCCATAGAACTGTACGATACAAAGAGGGAATACTAATATAAAATTAAGCTAACAATAACATATCAATATTGATTCATAACTGTAACAAATGTACCACACTAACGTAACATATAAATAATAGGAAAAACTGTATATAAGGGTGGGGGGAGGATATGGGAACTATCTGTACTTTCTGCTCGATTTCTCTGTAAAACTAAAACTGCCACAAAAATAAAGAAAAAAAAAAATAAAGGTTAAAAAAGAAGACTGAATACAGCGGCCCCAGCATCACAAAGCAGACGATAGAAGGGTAGGTTTAGAGATAAGAGATAACAGCTAAATAACCAGCACTCAACTTCTCCAGCTGTGAGTAGCTATTTTGCCCTCCTCAAATTTACAAATTTTTGGTCTACTTATGGATAAATGCAGAATGAAGAGATACTTGTGAATCAAATGATACAGATTTACAGTCATTGAATATCTGCTGTACATAAAAAAAAATCTATTATAGGTGAAAGTATTAGTCATACACACATGAAAGACTGAATACAGTAAAATACACATATGTACATATATCAGGTTTAGCAGCTGGCATAACAATAAATTTTATAGTGCTTTATAATGTATGTAGAACATAATCTATTATTAAATGACCTAAGTCACTGTGCATGAATGAAGCATATTGCCTCTCTCCTCCTCCCCACCCCCCAGAAAATGCCCCAATGGGATTGTCACTGCTCAAGCCAATCTATCTCACAAAAAAGAGGTAAACACCTAACTCTACCCAAGGCCTGTTCATTCTCTCTCTCTCCCTCTTCCAGCTGAATCAGAAGGAACAAAGAGTTGTCTCTCTGCCACTTTGGGGAGCTTACAGCATGCAGTAAGTATTACAGCTCATAGAATACAAGAGACCAAGAATGCCTCAATCAGGTTTTCTCCTACATTCCATATAGCACCAAGGAAATTCTGGGTACTTGATAATGTCTCTGAAAATAAAAAGTCAGTACTCATTAAATTACCCCCTTTGCTGCCAAACAACAATGCGGCTTCAGTAATTTTCTCCTTTAAAAGCAGAAATAGGGCATGACTTCAAAATTAGCAAAATATCAAGACCACTCCAATGTGACTGGTTCTACATCAGCATGTGAACTGGTTAGCACAGCTCCATGCCTTGGCCAGAGAATGCCCATAACCAACCCCATTCAGCTGTTTGAAAATAAAAGCCACAGATGAGAAAATGTGGCTCCGCACTACTCCCTCTCAACTTGGAAAAAAAACAAAAAGCCCCAAATGTCTAGTCTCTTCATAATTCAAAGGAATCACCGCCTCGTAGACTCCTTGAGTTTATAAGATGGGGCTCTCATCTTACTTATCAAGCATTTAGTAAGCTCCCTAACCTATAATATATTCAGAAAATGTGTTCAGCAGTGACTGATCATTTATACTATGTAATTTCTATGATCAACACAAGAGTCTTGACAATTATATTTTAATATACTCTCTTAGTCCTTATGGAAGATGAAAAACACATCACTAGTTTTTTCCATTCCAGGCAATCTGTTAAAGGAAACCAACATTACTTGTAAACAGATTCCAAACTATCAGGAGGGTAAATTAAAAATATACTTGCATATTTTGGATACATTTTTAAAATCATGTGTCAGATTCTTGTTCTGGCAAGATTCTTATGACCAGCCATATAACTACTTGAGCTTAAAATGAATCTTTTTATTCTAGCTTCTTTCAATCAAATAATTAATGCATATTGCCCTTCAGCCCTTATTAGTCATACATATCTTTAAGAAAATTTCCAGGGCCGACCCTGTGGCTCACTCGGGAGAGTGCAGCGCTGGGAGCGCCGAGGCTGTGGGTTCGGATCCTATATAGGGATGGCCGGTGCGCTCACTGGCTGAGTGCAGTGCGGGCGAAACCACGCCAAGGGTTGTGTACCGGTCACAAAAAAAAAAAAAAAAAAGAAAATTTCCAAATATGTTTTCATGTTCCATCTCTTTGCGCAAAAATTAACTTATTTCCCTATTTTTCTTTCTTGAAATAAACCTGTTGGTGGGTAAAAAGACTGTTCTCACATGACCTGGCCATATTACCTTTTCTAGCAAAGGATTTACATCACAGAAAATACTACTCTAGCCAATCTAACCATAGTGCCCCCTTAAAAAAACCTAAATAAAGCAATAATATGATGTTAACTATTGGGGGAGATCAAGTTATTTCTGAAAAGATTTGGAGAAAAGGGAATTCCAGTATCTTTGCCATACATTTCCTGCTATAAAAGATCTGTATCTACTTCTGAAAAAAGAAGTGATGCACAAAGGTCCCTGGAGCTGGTGTGTGTGGGTGTAGCACAAGGACCAAATCAGAGCTTTAGGAAGTCTACAAACCTATCAGAACCCAGAAAGGCAAACTTAGATTCAATCCCGACATGGGGGCTCAAGAGGAGGAAACATTTATTAAAATAGTAACTACATTTTATTTCCATAAATAAACAGTTTCTATGACCATTGTGACCAGTAGAGAGCTGGATAAAAGAAACAGAGATTATGAACAAAAGTTGAAGAAATTTCTTTAATGTGAGGGCACTGAAACCCTGCATTCCCTCACACACCCATCACTCACCCTGGATGCATGCTGCTCCCTGCACATATCCCATGTTCACCTGTTCCCTTTACCTGGCATATGCCCCATACTCTTGAAGGCTGTGTAAATGCCAACTTTACCCTGAGGGTCAGAATCCACCTGTCTTTTGAGTTCAAACATTTTGTTATACTCTAAGATGCACCTACTACATTCTGCACTGAAAAATAGGCCAACTGTTATTTATGCTCAAATTTTATCACCATTCCTCCATATGCCCCAAAACTACAAACTAGGGACTGGGTTTTTTCACATTTGTATTCTATCAATCTGATCAACACACACAGCAGATGCCAGCAAATGAATAATAAAAAATTTAAAGTTTTCATCTCAGAGATCCTCAAAAGAAAATAAAAAGGTCAAGAATCACCTGCCTGGGAACCATATCTGTGGTTCTAGTCCTTTGATTCTAATGACTATATAATTTTCTAGGAACTTGGAGAAGACCAGCATTTCCCAAAATGGTGTCTTCTGGACACTGTTCTACAGAATGTTAATAGATAGATACTCAAATAAATTGGGAATGTCAGGATTAAAACAAAGTTAAAATGGTTACTTTACTGCAGTACTTTTGCAGGGCTTTAATATGCTAATACAAACTGAACATTTCCAAAATAAAATTCCATTACAAAGCTTTTAGTAAACTAATTTAAGCAAGATCCTGAGGGGATTGTAGAAAATGCTTCAAAGACTTTTTTTGGTTTTTGGTCACAATATTACTGAGTACTTTAGATTAACTTCTTAAAAAGTTCTTACCTGATATGGGTTGCAGGCAGAGATTCATACTGGCGTGACAAGAAGAGTTCCCTATGTTTCAATTGATGTTTCTGTTTATCAGTCAAGTCAGTCTCGACTGTTGTTTCAGATTCTTCCTCAACTTCTTCTACACAAATGAAATTCAAAGACTTCATTATTACAAAGCATATTATCTATTTGGATATTAAGATAGATCAAACCAACATATTATGCAACATTATCTTCAAACTGATCCACTTAAATTTATAAATTTAAAATTCAATTACAACTATAAAACTAAGTTATCAGGTCTTCACAGGAAGAAGAAAAGCTCTAACTTAAAAATGGCAGATAGAATACATGCATGTATCTTCTCTTCCCTGAATAAATCCACACCAAGATGGCAATTAAAACTATTCACATTTCGGGCTGGCCCGGTGGCGCACTGCTCCAGTGCGCCACTTGGGAGCGCGGCGGCGCTCCCACCAAGGGTTCGGATGAGCGCGGCGGCGCTCCCACCAAGGGTTCGGATGAGCGCGGCGGCGCTCCCACCAAGGGTTCGGATGAGCGCGGCGGCGCTCCCACCAAGGGTTCGGATGAGCGCGGCGGCGCTCCCACCAAGGGTTCGGATCCCACATACAGACCGGCCGGTCACTGGCTGAGCGAGGTGCGGGAGCAACACCGAAGGTTGCGATCCCGTTGCCGGGCCCGGTCCGGTACGGGCGCGACACTGAGGGTTGCGATCGGCCGGGCACGAAAAAAGACAAAAAAAAAAAAAAAAAAACTATTCACATTTCAATGACAATAAAAAATGAAGAAACAAAGGAAGAATTTCAGCCAAAAATAAAAAATTTAGAAGATGGAAAGCAGATGGAAAGAAAAAAAAAAAGTGAGTGCTTAGCAGAGAGAAGGAAATGATAAACTATGCACACAAAGAGAGTTACCATCGAGAAGGATGGCACAAAACCTCTACTAACTTAGCTCTTGAAAATACCAAGTACTGGGCCAAGCCCGTGGCACACTTGGGACAGTGCGGCGCTGGGAGCACAGCAGCGCTCCCGCCGTGGGTTCAGATCCTATATAGGGATGACCGGTGCGCTCACTGGCTGAGCGCGGTGCGGCCGGTCTCAAAAAGGACAAAAAAAAAAAAAAAAGAAGATACCAAGTACTGCAGAAAGGAAGAGTGAGGTGGGAGACTTAAAAAGGGCTAAAAGCTTCATATCCCTTTACGGCCAGCGCCCCCCCCCACCCAAAAAAAAGGGCTAAAAGCCTATATATAGAATAACTGAATCCAAGAACACTGTATTTATTTATTTATTTATTTTTATTTATTTATTTTTTTAAAGATGACCGGTAAGGGGATCTCAACCCTTGGCTTGGTGTTGTCAGCACCAGGCTCCCCCAGTGAGCAAACCGGCCATCCGTATATGGGATCCGAACCCGCGGCCTTGGTGTTATCAGCACCGTACTCTCCCGAGTGAGCCACAGGCCGGCCCAAGAACACTGTATTTAAAACAGCAATAATCATGTTATAACACCAAGGTCAAGGGTTTAGATCACCATATCAGCCAGCTACAAAAAAAAAAAAAAAAAAAAAAGATGAATTAGAAAACAAGAAACAGGGTAACAGATTTTTTAATTTGATAACACAAATAACAAACTAATAGAAGGATTGAAAGGTAATGCTAAGGAAATCTCCCAGAAATTAGAACACAAAATCAAAGATGAATAATTGAAAACCAAGAGATAAAAAAATCAAAAAACAAGCCACGAAGTCCAACATCCCAGTAATAAAAGTTTCAGAACGAAACAATAGAGAAAACAGATTTCTTTCACTCTTTTTGCAGGGAGAAGAGGTATGGGCAGAGATCTATCAAAGAAATAATTCGAGAAAAATCGCCCTTATTGAACAAGATTAGTCTTCAGAATTCTCGCAGCATACTTAACTTTTTAAAAAGTGATAACAAGGGCCAGCCCATGGCTCACTTGTGAGAGCGTGGTACTGACAACACCAAGTTAAGGGTTAAGATCCCCTTACCGGTCATCTTTAAAAAAAAAAAAAAAAGTGATAACAAGAGAAGATCACAAAAGTTTACAGAAAGGACAAACAGGTCACAAAAAAACTAGAATCAGAATGGAATCTACTTATGAATAGCAACACTGTATGCTAAGATGGTAGAGCAATGCCATCCAAGAAAAAAATGAGATTCAACTCAGAATTGTACAGTAATCAATCAACTATTTGTCAAGTCTGAGAACAGAATAAGAACATGCTTTCCTTCATTAAACCAGTATTTATCAGGTACCAAATCAGGCACCATTCAAGGTGCTGGGGATACGCATTGAACAAAACATTACTAAGACGAAATGATTCAAATTGGCTGTGGTTGGAAAGCAAGGCTGGAAGGAAGGGATGGAAAAGACAGGAGACAAAGTTTTACCTGAAATTTTTTTTTTAGACACTGTATTTAATCATCTCTTTAAAGAAAAAATGACCACATATTTACAGACATACTTACAATTAATCATAGATACATACTTTAAAAAAATATAATACCCCTAAGGGGGCTCACAGACCCTCTGCAGAGGGTGAGATTGATACAAGTGGGGTGGGGAGCTCTTCAAACAGCAAGAAGAACCCAAGGTTCACCTGGACCATCTGGAGAGGACTTGAAGGCCTTAATTTTCAGACACCAATGGGTACCACATACACACAGCAACATATTTCTGTTCCTCATGATTCTTATATATTCTTATTTCAGGACTCAGGATCACAGGAGAGATTTTTATCAAATATAATCCCCTAGTTGAATTGCAGGAGGGTAATTAAGGGGGTAAGTGTCAGGTCTTTCCTACTTTCAAATTTTTAAAACTCTGAATTGAAAACAAACTTGAAAAACTGCTTTAGAAAAGGACTCACCTAGTTCAAAGAAAAAAATAAGGCAATTTAAAATTCTCTGAATGTTCTTTTTAATGAACTACTCAAAGAGAAACACAGCACTAAAGGAGCCATTTACTTGTAGGTCTAATAACATTTCACCAGTAGAGATCAATAAAGTTATTGCTGCATTGGCACTATTCACACAAGTAAATATCACATATAAAATTATACTCTTACCAAATTAGGGTTTGACAAATAGTTCTGTACGACACAGCTAACTGAATATAAATGCATATCCTACAGAGCTAAAACAGCAACAAGCTCTACAAGTAATAGTAACAACAGTAAATTTTACTTTCTTATACAGCTCCTTGGTATAAGGTGTAAAGGACTAAAATCTCTGAAGTCCAACCTAACCAAAGACAGAAATCACAACAGCATCTCCCATTACGAAAATCACTAATGAAACCAGTTTTTAAAATTTACTAGCTAGGGCCGGCCCGGTGGCGCACTGGAGAGTGCGCTGCTTGGGAGTGCGGCGGCGCTCCCGCCGAGGGTTCGGATCCCATGTGGAGACCGGTTCCCGCTCACTGGCTGAGCGTGGTGCGGGCGCAACACCGAGGGTTGCAATCCCGTTGCTGGTCCCCGGTACGGGCGCGACACCGAGGGTTGTGATCCCGTTACCGGTCAGTAAAAAAGACAAAAAGGAAAAAAAAAAAGAAAAAGAAAAAAAATTTACTAGCTAAATTTCATTTACATAGTCCTATATAAATTTGTACTGGCTTCTAAGCAGAAATGAATGAATGATTCCCATGTCACTAATATCCTAAAAACATTAAACAGAAACAATGGCAAAAATTACCATTTAGACAATAAAAAAAATTTTTTTTTTTTTTGTCTTTTGTCTTTTTCCGTGTCCAGCAACGGATCGCAACCCTCAGTGTTGCCCCCGCACCGGACCGGGGACCGGCAACGGGATCGCAACCCTCGGTGTTGCCCCCGCGCCTCGCTCAGCCAGTGAGCGGGAACCGGTCTGTATGTGGGATCCGAACCCTCGGGCGGGAGCGCCGCCGCGCTTCCCAAGCGGCACACTATCCAGTGCGCCACCGGGCCGGCCCTAGACAATAAAAATTTTTAAAAGACCAAATATGAGCATAACTATCTTCATAAAAAATGAGGTACATGTTAATATCACTATAATTTTTTAAAACCATTTTACCAAGCTTGATGGAACACCAAATTTGCTATCCTATAAAAGTTATTAAAGGTCGAGTACTATATAGAAATAGAAGACAATGAATACCAAATTATTCACTGTATCTTCCTTACTGCTGGAAAAGTTATCAGTACGCATAGTTTACCAGCAATAAGGCACTGGGGGTAGGGAGGAGAGAAAGAATACAGAAGGAAACTTACAAAGGTATTGTCTGAAGTTTTAAAGAGCAATAAATATATATATAGTTCATGGAAACATCATTCTTTCATTCATCAATTTTGACAGCTGGCCAGTATATGGATCTAAACCCATAACCTTGGTGTTAAAACACCGCACTCTAACCAACTGAGCTAACCATCCAGTCCTGTATTATCTTTAAATTCTATATTTCCACAAACTTTCTGAAGTACCCTCATGTGTGTCGGTGTGGGTGTGGGTGTGAGTGTGTATTGCTATACTTATATCTTCTGTTTCAGCTATATCTGCCATATAATACATGGCCCAGCAAGGCTCCTACACATTTCAAAGTTTTAGACTGCAGAATGAGAAAGAAGCCAAAGGCCTCAAAAGCTCAGCAAGACTAGTTACACATGCAGGCAAAGAAGGTATGGGGATAAGGCTAGCACTAACAATGTTCAGGAAGCAAGGGTCAGAGAAGAAATCCAACTAGCCAAATAGTCTGGAGTGCCCGACATCCAGCTCTAAGATATGGGAAATCAGTCTCAGCAGCAGGATACAATCAAGGTCTCAGGCAAAGTTTTAAAAATTGAGCTTGTGACATAAACTAGGCCAGAGTAGGCAACTGATGAATTAAGGTACCTGAACAACAAGTGACAGAACCCAGGGAAGGAGGAGCCATTACTGATTCTAGATACTTAAACTGGGTATTTTTCAGAACGGATCAGAATTATAATTCCTACATGTTAGTTTGGGGAAGAGGAGCTGTGGAGAGGAGGATAGTCTTCCACAGATTATTCTCAAGCATCCTAGGAGCCCCACACCTCCCACCATACACAATAATTAACTCAACATGGATCAAAGAGCTAAACAT